TGAGCAGGATTTGTCTTATGGAAAAATACTGAGACAGAATAGCCACACATAGTCTCTTGAAACTTTAGCATTTCAAAAAGGAAACCTTTATTGAAAGGAAGTGAATGCAGGACAATGCAAAGCAAGGTCTAAGTTCCCCCCAGGCAATTCCGTTAGGATAAAGTGGTTAGAAACACCTCCCCTCAGTCTGATGTTGAATGAACCAATCCACAAGTGCGAAGATGTTATGGAAATGGTCGTCCTGAGAAAGAGATAAGGAGTCATTCCAATGTGCTTCTTCTGTGAGGATTCTGAACTGAGATAAAACAGATGGCCCTCCCCTCTTGTACATTCTTCAAGTTAAATCAAAGCACAGGGCAGAATAGGTGACAGGGTAAAAGTTATAAACTAGGGAAATGACAGGATACATAGGAAATAGGATGAGAGCAATAATAAATGACTAAAAGAATCTGGGGTTCCCTCACCACATGAATGGCAGTATCACAATAGGGATCTGTTAAGTTGATTCTTCATCTGGTCTACCTGGAATGCTGACCATGACTGGGTATCATCAGCAACTCCATGCCATTGAGTAACCTCACCCAACAACTCACACGTATCATCTGCTTTCTTGAAGAATGGGAGACTTTTAATCAATTGTTAATTTTCCCAATCTTTTCACTCCAGTCAAAAGTCACCATCAGGGTAAGTGACCAATATTTTTATCTGCTTGGCTAAATTCTGTTTCTGTGCTTTTTTAAAGAAAGGAATCATTGGGAAGAATACAATGCTCACACCCACAACATTGAAGGCACTTCCTATGCCTTGTTGGCCCTGCTGAAAATGAAGAAATTTGATCAAACTGGTCCCATAGTCAGATGGCTGACAGATCAGAATTTTTACGGGGGAACATTTGGACAAACCCAAGTGAGTCTTTGCTTTATTGTCAGAGTCTAATCTTCTGAGCTCTATTCTACTTTAGGCTGCTTAAAACAAAATAATAGTCTGAATTGTTGCATGTTTTGCCTAAAGAAGAGAAGGCAAAGTCAAGACACTATAGCAGTCTTTTAATATTTGAAATGCTGTCACGGGGAAGAGGTTATGGATTTATTCTACATAGGAGAATAGGATAAGATAAGAAACAGTGAATGGAAGCTTTATAGAGAGGAACCTCCAAAAAAAGAATAAGGAGGACTTTTCTGATTATGAGAGCTATTAAGCAATGGACATAATGGTCCATCAGGAGGCTTGCAAGCAAAAGTTGGACAACCATTTGCTGGGCATGTTGTAAGGATTATTGCCTGTGCATTGGGTTGGTTTTGAATATGTAACAGAACTAATAGTAATAGTAAATCTACCACTGATTCTATTTCATTTTCTAGTAAGGGGAATAAAAATGATAGAATGCTTAGCCTTCAAAGATGATTTCATGAAGACGATGTCAAGGGAAAGTTTTTTAATATAGGTTTGACATCCTAGTGCTGATTTTCTATATGCGAAGAGTTTTCATACTGAGATGCAATGATCCCCACTCAGCTGGTAGAACAAAGCATCAAATAGCTACTTTAGGACTTGACTAACTGGTAACTTGAAAATAACTACAGGTTTCTCTTCAGTTATCTGTAAGCTTTTTTGGCACAAAATGCCCCTAGAAGAGAATGATTTGTGCTGAGAAAAATAACATATTGTTTATTTATTAAGTTTATTTGCTGCTCATCTCACCATTAGGCTACATAGGGTGGTTTTCAACAATAAAATAAAAAAAGATAAAAATATATCTCTAGAGAAAATATAGTAGAGAAAAATGTAGTAGAGAAATGTATTCTCTATCCCTCATGTATGGGTACAAGGTGGATAGAGAGTTTTTAAAATCTCTGTTTGGTTAGCAGACAAGTGCATGAATCTTTTTATATGCAGGACAAAGAATAGCTTTTGAAAGGAATTTTTATCTGAAGATTATCTAGGGTTTATATCCTTCATCCATGCTAAAATTAAGGGAACCAAGAGAAATCTCATCCATAGACTTCCTATTGTCCTAGATGTATGTATGTGTATATAAGTCAACTCTCCTCTTTTGTTTACTCATTCAGTTTGTAGCCCATCTTCTCATTTATGATTAAATGATCTAACAGACAATTGTAAAAATTAGAAAGATAGTTTGGGTATTTCTTGCAACAAGCCACATCACCATGTTCTTCCCTATGTGTTAAACATTTATTTCTCTAGTAAAACATATCCCTGGATTTTCAGTTCCTTTGTGAGATACTCCAAGACAAACTATCATATTTTTCCTTCTCCCATTCCAGGCAACAGTTATGGTGTTTCAAGCTCTTGCTGAATATGAGATTCAGATGCCTACCCATAAGGACTTAAACTTAGATATTGTTATTAAACTGCCAGAATGAGAACTACCTATAAAGTACAGAATTGATATTACTAATGCTCTCCGAGTCCTGACAATAGAGGTACAGTATTTCAGCAAGTGTATTTATTACTCCGTTCATTGGAAATAATTATTTTGGTTCAAATGCAGGTTCAAATGCATCTTTTTTCAAGAACTGGGAAAAACTATACAGAATTTAGTGGAACAAGAAAAAAATTAAATCAGTTCTCCCTATTGGAATTGTGCACCAGATTGCTTAAGTCTACTAGCTTCTTTGTCAACATACAATGTAGTTTTAAATGACTTCCCTTTCCTCACAAAAGCTGCATTTAAGACAATATCGCAAAATTGTGTCTGTACTTCCAAGGACTATTCCATCTGTGATAAGAAAGAGATTTGAATGGCTCTGGGAGAATTTCTGGAGCACTTCATGACTTAGGAAATGAAGATAATATCATTAAAACAATTGTGCTGCTATTTCTGATGTTGCACAAGCATGATACCAACAGAGTTATATGTTTAAATATGGGTCTGGTATAAATGAGTGGAAATAAATGTTTCTGAAATAGTATTTGAGGGAAAAGTAGATGAAGGAACATAAACTATGGCAGGCATTGTTTCATCTTTTCATACATCCCTTTTTTTGCTGCTTACATGGAGCTCTACTCCAGCTCATGACTGTAAATACAGTTTGGAATCACAGAAAATATAACTCAGGTGGAAAGAGCCTTCATAATCTGCATCTAAACTTTGTTCACCAATCTGACCTGCTGATGTGATCTGAATCTTCGAAGATTGATTGGACCCCTAACTAGATTCATCTTTAAGGTGGCTTGATGAAAAAAGCTTCTGATTATCCCAATCTTAGCTCTTCTATTTAGCAAAGGAACTGTTCCACTTCCAGAATGAGGCCTGCCATGAAGCAGTGTGGATGCTTTTAGGTGGCAGAAATTAAGAAACAAGACTCAAGAGGCAGCCTATAGATATGCCTTGGAACACATCCACACTATAAAGTAAAAAAAAAAACCATTTGAAACATATTTAGGTTAGTAAGAAACCATGTAGACTTTCTATCAGTAAATTACAATAACAGACAACTAACAGCTTTGAATTTTACTTTAATCCATTAACAATTTTTCTTTCACATATGTAATGTATGACAGGTCAATTGGGTTGCAAATAAATTTTGGACCTACTTTGCAAGAGGGAAGCTATTATTGTTGCAAAAGAATTCTGAGTATTTAACTAGGGGAGATAATGTCTGTATTTTTCCTTTTTTAATTAACATTTCTCAATGTTTTTGTTTAGTTTTGTTCTGTCTCTGTTCAATTATTTTATTTTGGATTTTAATCTTTTGAATAAAATAAAATTGTTTAAAACAAGGAACAGATTTAGGTTCATAGTAGTTCTCCAAGGACTTAAGTACATTTCAATTATATACAATATATTGAGAGACAATTAGATGTAATGGTGAAGGTGCTGGCTTGGAACCAAGAGATTGTGATTTTGAATCCTGTTTTAGACAGGGAAGCTGGCTGGATGATTTTACACCAGTCATTCTCGCTCAGCTCAACCCACTACACAGGGTGGTTATTGTGGAGAAAAAAGGAGGTAGGATATTTAGATATGTTCAATGCCTTGAGTTATTTACACTATAAAAGGGATAAGAGTATAATAATACTCCAGATTTAACCATTTTTGATAATAAAAAAAGTATTGATAGTGGATATGGTAGCACCTGGAGACAGCAGAAGAGAAGGGAAAGGACTGAAGAAAATCACAAAATATAAACACCTGCAAACAGAAATAGAAAATAGAACAACTGTGGCAAAGATAGTACTAAAAGTAATAAAACACTTTGGATACAATCCCTAAACATCTGGAATCCTTTATCACTATGAATGTATATCAATATAGAAATTGCTAAGATTGGCACACAATAATTTGGTTAGTTTTACATCCATTGTGTCTTCAGAAAGTAGAAGGAAAGGAGTTTTCTTTATGATTTGATTTTGTTGATACCTTCCTAATATACTGTCATTTCTTCATACAAATATTTGAGTGAGTCTTTTTATATTTGGAAATCTATTCCACCTCTAGCTCATATCAGGTTACAACAAAGTCAATAAAATACTAGCACTAATAAGAAGTAAAATCAGCTGAAAGTCATGCTAACCCTGGTTGCTTTTCAGACCAAACTCAACCAAGACTTTGTTGTGTCAGCATCAGGTGATGGAAAAGCAGCAATGACCATTTTGACATTCTATAACACACAGTTGCAGGAGAAGGCAAATGTTTGCAACAAATTCCATCTTGATGTTTCTGTTGAAAACATCCACTTGAGTAAGTTTGACTGGTGGCCTTTGGCTTGCTAGAAATAGATTCTAATGAAATGTATGGTGGGGGAAGATTAAAGTGTTTCTATTCATCATGTCAGGATCCCAATATGGAACAAGCTTTCTCTATTACTTATTCATAAAAAGTCTCTCATTTGATAGAAAATAACATTATTAATTCCATACTTAGTTGTAACCCAGTTCTTGAAGTCAACAAAATAATTTATTTCCTTTTGCCCTGGACAAGCAGGTATTAAGAGCACTGAAGGACAGGTTTTGGGATTGAAATATGTAGATTGGACAGGAATTGAAGTTGTAGGCAATAGACATGTTACTGTCATTTATATTTCTTTGGAGACAAAGAGAAAATCCTATTAGCTCATGGCTTGCAAAGAAGAGGATATTAGATCCATATTGCCAATATAATTCCTAACTAATCCCAAACTAACAGCAATTGCAGTCCACGAGAGGCTTGCAAAACCAATTAGGATTTGGACAGATGGTCAAATAGCCGTAGGCCAGAAGGCCTCTTGTTGCCCACTAAGTCTCCACTGTTCTCCTTTTGAATTGAATTGAATTCTTTATTGTCATTGTATGTATATACACAGTATACATACACCGAAATTCACATAACACCCAGAGATCAGACTCAACATGCACACACACATAACAATCCCCAAATACCTCCCCACCCGCCAAAATTCCCCACCTTCTAAAAACACACAAGCATCCACACAACAGACCAAGTAATACTGTCCAACAGCTCACTGATGGTGGTCCTTAAGTTCATTGTTAAGTGCAATTATAGCTCTGGGATAAAAACTATTCAGAAAACGTGTGGTCCGAGTTTTAATTGTTCTGTATCTTCTGCCAGAAGGCAACAGTTCATAAAGATTGTAAGTAGGATGGGAAGAGTCTCTGAGAATGTTGTGCAACTTCCTCAAACAGCAAGATGCGAAGATGTCATTCAGGGCTGGTAGCTGGAGCCCAATGATATTCTGGGCAGTTTTAATGATTCTCTGTAGAGCTTTTTTGTCTGCTACAGAGCTGCTGTAGGACAGAAGTAGATACTGAGATAGATTTATCTTCCTGAGAATGCTCTCTCTCTCTGAGGAGCCTCTTCTGTGCCTTCTTTACAAGCATGTTGGCATTCATAGTCCATGAGAGGTCCTCCGAGATATAAGTGCCCAGAAATTTAAAACTACCAACCCTTTCCACCTCCTCACCATTTATGTACAATGGTAAACGTACATCTCTCTTCCTCCTGAAGTATAAGTTCTTTAGACTTTTTTTGGTGTTAATTCCTAACTTAACTAGTTTTCTAAGAGCCATGTTGGGGTGAAGGATGCCAAAGAGAAAATAACTTAATGCCATTCTTAATTTTAGAAAATCCAGAAAGAGATTAAATGAAGAATGATTTTTAGGTGCTCTTAATTTATGTTGATTGATTTGCAGCAGGATCCAAATTTTTATTGGTTTTATATCTGTGCACCATATTAAGACAGTCTGCAAGATATAATTCATGATATTGTTTATTAAATGTTTATCCCATATTTCCTTTGTAGAACCCCAATTTATTTGTCCAATTTATATGCTGCTCATCTTGCATTTAAAGGCAACTCTCAGTGGCTTAATGCTTTTATTACCTGTTGTGGTATTCTTGCAATACTTCAATACAATAGGTTAGGAAACACAGTGATACACCCACACACGCACACATAGATACACACACAAACATGTAACAGCAAATTGTATTAAAAAACCCTAAATTTGGTTCTTGCAAAATGAAGAATAAGTTGTATTTTACACTCAGCTGGAAAATTTCTAGCTCTTACACTTTAGAATCAAAACAACCAATTCTTCAATTATTGAAACTGGGTTTGTTATTCTTTGTTTAAACATTCCTTATTCACATGATTTCTTTCAAGAAGGAATCAATCATAAAAATAGAGGGTAAAAATTATTAGATTAATCCTTTGATTTCCAAGGAGATGTTACAGCCAGACAATCAAACTTTTCAGCAGAGTCCAATTTCTCCCTTTTCTTTTGTAATTTTTAGACTTCAAACATGGAAAGGGAGCCAAGGGAGCCCTCATGCTCAAGATCTGCACGAGGTAAGAATGCTGAACACTAAAGAAAACTTTGGATTGTAGCAGGATATTTAGAATTATAACTTTGAGAAGCAATTATGTTACTTTTCAAGAAAATAATTATGCTTTCCCCAACTTTACACTCTTTCTCTGCTTGTATATTGATCTGTTTTCTGTGCATCATCCTAATTTGTAATATTTTGTTGTTTGTAGATGAAACAAAGAGCAGAATTTAAGTCACTGCAGAGTGAAGATCGTTTAGATTGATTTAGGGATGTAGAAATTGCAATATGCTACAGCACAATGGCCAGTACATGAATAGGAAACTCCAGGAAACTCTAGAACTGTAGGCTAGACTCAGAAGTTGAGGAAAATAACCCAGGAGAAGGTAATGGCAATTATATTCCATGTTGATGGGGAAATTTCACACACTTGTTCATGAATCCATCAGACATTGAACTGGACTCAAGAGAACTATAGAGTGAGATCAATAGTAGGTCTCCAACTTGGTTTTGCCATTTAAAGAAAAAAAAATACATTCCATTGTATGCCTTAATCAATGCTTTTTACTTGGTTTTCACCCAAATTCATAAGCTTTGTAAAAACTTCTATGAAAATTGTTATGGGAGTTAGGAGCACATACATTGCGGTGGCTCATGTGCCAGCCTATAAGAGCTGTCAATCGCTAGATTTCTCCCCTTCAAGATGAATCATTTTCAAAAACACAGCACTGCCCTCATAGCAATGAAGAGGAAACTGTTTGTGAACTAGGAAATCCATCTTTGGTCATTTTTCCTCCATTCTTGATTTTAGGTATCTGGGAGAAGTTGATTCTACAATGACAATAATTGATGTTTCTATGCTGACTGGTTTTCTCCCTGATGCAGAAGACCTTACGAGGGTAAGCAAGCTTTGCATGGGGCTTGAAATGGCTGTTTCTGTAGTTTAGTGAAGATGCTGAATTAGAGAATGTGTTATAGTTAATGCCTATATGATTAAAACTGTGGAGAGAATGAATGAATATTCATTATTAATAAATGAATCAATAAGATGCTGAATTTTATGACACATAAAAAGGCATTATATTTTAATAAATCAGAAAAGTATATTGTTAAGTATGGAGAATAAGGGAGACCAGACATCTGACCAGTGACTTCAACTCTTTAATAAAGCGATAGACATAACAGAGCAATGATATGGGCAGCAGTAACCCTTTTATAGGGTTAGCTGTTGCCTTATTAACCAATGAAAATGTGCAGCAGGTTCCCACTACTGACCAATAAGGACAGTCCCAAAAGTGGCCAATCAGGGACTGGTTCTGGTCCAATCCCAAGTTGTTGTATAAGGACCAATCAAGTGTGCAGGTTTTCAACCCCTAATTTGCATTTAGGTTATTCACTTTTATTGATTCACAACACCCCTCCCCCTTGGGTTCCGTTTGAGGGGAGCTGTGATAAAATCCTCAAGATAGGCAGGCCGTTTGGTCTGCCTGGATGATTTCCGAGGCTCCACCGGGTTTTGTCCAATGTCCGGTTCCGGTGGAGCGTTTGGATGACCATTGTTGCGTTCTATTTCGCTGCACGGCGATTCCGTGCTGCATTCACTGTGGTTGTCTCTGCTACTGCTTGTTTCTTCGGGGTTTTGCAGTTCATTTTCCCCCGTATTAAAGTTCCCTGAAGACATCAACTCCTTCCCCGCTTCATGTTCCGGTGCTTCGCTGGGCTGTAGGGCTCCCGTTGACCTGCTATTAGTTGTATCCAAGTCAATTCCCTCGATACTCCCTCCCCCTTGAGTTGGTGAACTGGGGAAGTCATGGCCGCTGGGTGGTAATCTCGATCGGACTTGGTCTATGTGGCGTTTCCACACCCTCCCATCGTCTGTTAGTAGGCGGTAAGATCTAGGCCCGGTGAGGTGGGTAATGGTTGCGGGTATCCATAACGGGTCGCCGGAAAAGTTTTTGGCAAAGATTAAATCGCCTACCTTAAATTCCCGGCATTTGCTGCTGGAGCCGAAAGGTTTTTCTGGTGTGAAAGCGGGGTGGAGCCGGTCAAGGTGCGATCGTATTTTCCGCCCCATAAGAAGTTCAGCGGGTGTTTTGTTGGTCACGCTGTGGGGCGTGATGTGCTGCAATAAGAGGATTCGATTGATTTTCTCGTCGATGTTGCCAAATTCCATTTTATGCAGGGTCTTTTTAATTGCTCGTAATTTGTCTTCGGTGGGATGAATTCCTTGGCTGTCCAGGAGGTATCCCAAAAATTCTACTTTTTCGGTACATAAGTGGCATTTATCTCTTTTTACTCTGAGGCCTGCATTTTGGAATCTTCGCAAAACCTCTTTGAGTCGTTTTTCTAGGATGTCTTTGTTAGGTGCGGCGATGAGTACATCGTCGAAATATGGGACAACACCTTTTATCCCTTGTAACAACCTTTCCATTAAACTCTGGAAGATTCCAGGGGCGACGCTTACCCCGAATTGGAGTCGGTTGCATTTAAATGCGCCCCTATGTGTTACGATCGTTTGCGCCTCGGCTGTGGTTGGGTCTACAGGCAATTGTTGATATGCCTGGGCTAAATCTAGTTTGGCGAAAACTTTTCCGCCGCCCAGAGAATGGAGTAAATGTTGCACTACCGGTACTGGATAAGCACTTTGCTGCAGTGCATGGTTTAATGTGGCCCGGTAGTCTCCGCAAATTCTTAGAGACCCATCAGGCTTGATAGGCGTCACTATCGGGGTTTCCCAACGGGCGTGGTCGGTGGGTTCCAGTACGCCCTGCGCTATCAGCTTATCGAGTTGTTTGTCGATTTTAGGCTTTAAGGCGAACGGCACCCGACGTGGCTTAAGGCGGATGGGTGCTATTTCAGGGTTCAAGTTAAACGAGATTGGGGTCCCCTTATACTTGCCTAGTCCGTTCGCGAAAACGTCTTGGAATTCTTGCACGAGTGCTTCCTCCCAATCGACGCTTTCGGCCTTGTGGACTCCGGCTACAGTGATTCCAAGCGGCCTGAACCATTGCAGGCCTAGAAGACTAGGCCTGTCTCGATCCACGACAGTCAGTGGTAGTGCGACGGTGCGGTCCTTGAATGAGACCTGGAATCTGCGGGACCCGACAACGGGAATTCGGTTGCCCTGATAGTCTTTGAGTATAACCCTCTGAGGGTTAAGGTCTTGGCGGCGAATCGTTGGAAGGAGCTGTTGGAGCGTTTTCCACGACACCATCGAGAGGGAAGATCCCGAATCTACCTCCATCACACAAGGTTTGTTTTCGATGGCGACCTTTACTCGGATTTTCCCAGCATCAAGGGATGTAGCGTGGCCTATGGTGATTGTTTGGTGGGTCTCTTCCCGCCTGGTTTCTTCACGCCTGGTGGAAGTGGTGGACGGCTTGTTTCTGTAGGAGTGGTTCAATTTTTCTCGGTGTGTGCCGAAGAATCCTGAAGACTGGAATTCGGCCTGTCGGGGTTTGGAGTGCTGTTTGCTCCTGCAAACCTTTGCGATGTGACCGCGTCTCCCGCAATGGCGGCAAAGTGCGTCAAGGAATTTGCAGCCGGATTGTGGGTGATTTGCTCCACAGCCGGCACACGGTCGAAATGAGTGTTGTGAGGACTGGTCTCTCTCCGTTCGAAGTCGGTTGACCTCTTCCTCATCGCTGTCGGATGGGGACTCTAGGTCTTCGTGGTGAGTTGATACCGGGTGTCTCTCTGAGCGAGGCGAGGTATCAGTGGCGAGTTTACGTAGCGGTGCGTTGGTGCGGCGCATTTGGGCTGCCGACTTCTTTGTTGCCTCTGCTGCCGAGGCTTCTTTAAGGGCATCGGTGAGGCTGATGTCCCCCTTAGCCATAATTTTGCTCTGGATAGCGCCGTCTTCTAGGCCCAGAACCAGGCGGTCCCGGAGGGCTTCTTCTAAGTCGGCGAACCCGCAGAGGCCTCCTAGGTTCCAGAGGTCCGCGATGTAATTGGCAAGGCTTTCGCCCTTCCGTTGGTCCCTCTGGTAATATTCGTGTCTTCTGACTAAGGTTTGCACGGTGGGCGCGTAGTGAGCCCATAGTAACGGCTCGAGGACATCCCAGTCCATTTCTTTTACCTCTGCTGGCTTGGCAAGTGACTTTGCCATTTTAAACACGGTTGGTCCACAATGCGTTAGAAAGATAGCTCTTTTTTTGCCGGTTGTCGCATCTTTCAAATTGTTAGTTTCCAGAAACATCTGGAACCGATCCATGTAGGCCTCCCAGTCTTCGGTCTCTGGATTGAATGGAACGGGTGCTACGGCACCGCTGGCCATGTTGCCGTTGATGGTGCGTGTTCGACCACGTGCTCTGTTAGTTGCTCTGTCGATTAGTCAGTTCTTCGGTCTCCGCATCCCACCTTCGTCGCCAGTGTTAAGTATGGAGAATAAGGAGGACCAGACATCTGACCAGTGACTTCAACTCTTTAATAAAGCGATAGACATAACAGAGCAATGATATGGGCAGCAGTAACCCTTTTATAGGGTTAGCTGTTGCCTTATTAACCAATGAAAATGTGCAGCAGGTTCCCACTACTGACCAATAAGGACAGTCCCAAAAGTGGCCAATCAGGGACTGGTTCTGGCCCAATCCCAAGTTGTTGTATAAGGACCAATCAAGTGTGCAGGATTTCAACCCCTAATTTGCATTTAGGTTATTCACTTTTATTGATTCACAACATATATAACTGAAATTTCTCTGACAAATTAATAATATGAAAACTCTTTTTTGTTGTCTCCAAGTCTCTCAGGTGTACATCCCGTGAACCTTGAAAATATTTTCAGATTTTTCTATAAATGTAACACAGTGCCAGTATAATTATAATAAGCATAATTTCTGATATACCTGTATATTTTTCCTGCATGTGGCTCCCGATTTCTGGTTAAGGTAGACTGAAGGGGCCTTTCTTTGAACTCATGCTGAAACAATATTTTGAAGGAGATCTTCAACTCATGGAAAATTAGCCTTTAGCCCCTATTCCTTTGGAGGGGGGTCCAGTGACTGTAGTGATTTAATAGAAGGGCAACAGGGGCAGGATGGGGAATGGCAAGGGGACTTGGCCAATTTTGTGCCAGTGTACTTTCCTGCTGACTTAAGATGGGGAAGAGAGCCAGGCCTGAGGAGAGGGGGGTTCAGCTGGCACATTGTTCCGGGGGCCCATGGAACTCAAAGGGGGCCCATGAAGGAGGCTTTTAAAAAATTTTTTTACAAAACCAAATTTTTAAAAAGAAAAACAGCAGGGCTTTGGTCAACCTGGATGCGCCTGGGCGGGGGTGAGGGGTGAGGGATGGTGGGGGTGGCTTGCAGGAAAACACTCCAAAGCTGGATCAAATCAACTCATTGGAGGGCAAACGGCAAGGAAGGAAGGAAGGCGTGCCCTTCCCGCGCAGCAGCAGCAGCGATCGCCCTGCCCTCCGCCTCCTCCTCCCTCTTTCTCCCCTTCTCCCCAGTTCTTGAAGAATCAACCTCCACTTCTCATCCTGTCAAAATCCTTCATGCCGAAAGGAAGGAGGGGCCACTGTTAGCTTAGTCGGAGGATCTGTGCACGCCAGCCATGCCAAAGGGTAATTGGCAAGAGGTTTTAAAATGAAAGATAAACCAGAGGAGGAGGGGGGGGCGGGCGAAGGAAGCGTCACTTTTCTTTCATTCGTATAGACTAGAGTGAATCATTCAGAATGATTCATCCTTCTCCCAGTCAGAAAAAAAACCCATCTACTTGTGAGCTGCACGGACTCCAATGCCGCTTCTCCATATTTTGTCCTCAACCCCCCACCCCCCGCTTTCCTATTTGCTTCACTGCCCCCCCCTTTTTAATGACCCTCTCGGTTGGTTAGGAGTTACATGACATCAGTGCAGAGTAATGCGAAATCCACAGGGTGGTGGAGAGGGGGAGGGGAGATGTTAACTTAACGTGTAGGTGAGAGGGCCCATATTCAGGGGTGGGATTCTACCAGTTCACACCTAGAACCGGTTGTTAACATTCTAAGCAGTTTGGAGAACCAGTTATAACAAATTACTGGCCTAATCCTGTAAGGAAGGCAGGAAGGAAACATTCTGGTGTTGCTTACAGAAACTGCCTCTCCATTAACCCTTATTACGTTCTTGGCAGGACTAGACTTCCTGTCTCAGGAACTTCTCTGGAGTTTTTTTCCCTTCCTTTGCTGGTACTTTGCTTGTGTGGAGTGACCATTCAAAGTTACAATGGCACTGAAAAAAGTGACTTATGGCCATTTTTCACACTTACGACTGTTGCAGCATCCCCACAGTCATGAGAAGCCAGGCGAGGAGATACGTGCCTCGATGTGAGTGATATTGAGTTGGCCAGTAACATGACCACCAAGCCACATCTACCCAGTCTACCCATATTAGTCTTGTTCCAGCACTTAATAATCCCCTTGGCGGCCCTGAAGACAGCACTGTATCTGGGCATTGGGGTTTGAGTTTACTTTATTGATTAGCCCTTGGGCCATATCAAAGTGTAGAGTTCCAGACACAAATTATTATTAAAATCTGATAAAAACAATTTAAAATGAAACTGGAATAAAATGAATTTGGAATAAAATACAGTTTAAAGTGAAATTGGAATTGGAATAAAATACAATAATTTAATATATAGATAAAATAAAATATGATAAAATTATATTTCAATGTCACCCCTACAATCTACCCCAATCAGTCCTACACATGCTGATCTCAACCAAATCATTTTGCTTAAGTACTGCGTTGTGTTAAATGTTATTTTGAGATTCTGGCCACACATAAGGTACGTTTTTTTTTCATATGGGGATCCCAATGGGTCATTCATTTGGTACATAGACCAAGGTACTTGTCTCTCACCTTCTTATACAGGGCACTGGAGAAACAGCCTAGGTCACCTAATGCTCTTTGGATATATGCAGTGGTGGCATTCAATATTTTTTTTACCACTGGTTCTGTGGGCATGGCTTGGTGGGCGCGCTTTGTGCATGCATGCACGCACAGAGGGTTTCCTACTGACCTTCTCCTGCAATCCTGCACTCTCCCTGTATGTTCAACAGCAGATGCATGACAATCTGCTGTGCTGTGCAAAGCAGCTGAGCTTCAAAACCAGGAAATAAAGATCAGAATAGAGCCAGGGCAGGTGGGCGGGCCCAGCAGCTGATCGTCAGAGTAAACCGGTTCACTCACAGATGATCCTCAGAGTGACTGGTTTGGCCAAACCAGGCTGAACCGGTAGAATACTACCCCGGATACATGACAGAATAATGTGTTAATATTCTAACTTTTGAATGTGTTAATATTCTAACTCAGTATTTTCTGAGATACCATTTCAACCTGCTGTTCCTCTCACCTTTTCCATTGATTCCCTTTATTCTGGGAAACCTGTACAGATTTGCAGAATTTAGTCCTTCAATCACTGGGTCAAACCTGAAGAACTTGGAATAAGCAGTTTCCTTGAGGTTATTCGGATGGAGTTTTGGGTGGGGGGGAATTATCTCCATGGGTAAACTGGCACCCACAAATGATCTTCTCTCTCCATTCCAGGTCTCCCACACTGAAGATGAATGCCTGCAATTTAAGATTCTCAAGCATTTTGAAGTTGGCTTCATTCAGCCAGGATCAGTCAAGGTGTACAGCTACTACAATCTGGGCAATGGCAGATGTATTAATACACCTTCCTCCTCCTAATTTCCCAACAACCACTCTGTGAAGTGAGTCAAGATTGTGAGAGAATGGCTTGGCCAAGGTCATCCAGTTGCTTTCATGGCTAAGGTGGTCTCTCCCCCTTTCCAGCCTGGTGCGTTAACCATTAGACCACACTGGCTCTTTCCAAGGAACTCAATGGTACTGGAGCTAGGCAAACTTGGCAAAAAGCCCAACAACAATGGATAGTTGATAAAACATTATTGATTTTCCAAAAAAACTATTTATAACAATTTCATAAAAGCTGAAGTGAAGAATGTATCATTTGAATCATATCAATATTGAAGATATATTAAAGGTATATTAAAGATATATTAAACACAAATACTCCGGCAGACTTCTGGTCTGAGTTTCCTTTGCTTGCCTTCTGAGCAGAGATGGTATTCAGCAGGTTCTGTCTAGTTCTGGAGAACCGGTAGCAGAAATTTTGAGTAGTTTGGAGAACCGGCAAATCCCACCTCTGACTGGCCCCGCCCCCATCTATTATCTGCCTCCTGAGTCTCGGCTGATCGACTGAGTCTTCTTTGGTTGCCCTGCACAGGAGAACGGATCTGGAAAGCAGGTTAGTGGGGTGGGAAGGAATGGGATTTTGCAGTAACTTTCCCCTGCCATGCCCACCAAGCCACGCCCATCAAGCCATGCCCATCAAGCCATGCCATGCCCACCAAGCCACGCCCACAGAACTGGTAGTAAAAAGAAAATTTGAATCCCACCACTGCTTCTGAGGGGCAGAGAACAAAGCCAGTGATACCAAGATTTCTCTGCTCTGGTGGGCAACGTGATGCTCATCTTAAGAGGGGAAAGTGGTACTGAGACTTTGGAAGCTGAGCTTGTCATGGCTGAGGAAGAGTTTCGCCATGCTAATAAGTATTTTGAAAGTTCATTATTTTTATTTCTGAATAGCATTTTCAGTGCAGCTCTTTAAGCAGGAAGTGTGCAAAATCATGAAAATACTTCAGAGAAAATTACCTGTAAAACCTGTATATAGTAGGCACAATTGCAAAAAAAAAAAAAAGTATTTCTTTGGAAAACATACGCTCAAATGCATACACATTTCTGAAATGTTAAAAGTATACAAAATAATTGTTTAAAAAATCTCCAATCCAACTAATCAGACCTGACATATTTGCAAAGTTGAAAATGATGAGAAACTAGAACTGATAGACAACCGTGGCCAGTTCTAATTCGCTTTTGTTGGCTGCACAGATCAATGAATTGTGCTTTAATTTCAGGAAAGGACGTGCCCATCCAAGACATTCTGCCGTGCAAAGCATTTGCACTGATTTTGTATAGACGCAACCCTAAGATCTCTTGCTGTGTCAAAGGGCTAGGGCAGGCTACCTAACTTGCCTGGAAGGTCAATCTGTCCCCATTTTGATCTCACTCTCACTAGGTCTTGTTAACTGCAGTGAAAATATGAGATTATTGGCCTGTAGCAGTGGTGGGATTCAAAAAAATTTACTATCAGTTCTGTGGGCATGGCTTGGTGGGCGTGGCAGGGGAAGGATACTGCAAAATCCCCATTCCCTCCCCATCCCACTAACCTGCTTTCCAGCTCCGTTCTCCATTGCAGGGCAACAAAAGAAGACCGAGCCAATCAGCTGGGACTCGGGAGGCAGAAAACAGATGGGGGCGGGGCCAGTCGGAGGAGGTATTCTCCAAACTACTCAAAATTTTCACTACCGGTTCTCCAGAACTGGTCAGAACCTGCTGAATACCACCTCTGGCCTGTAGTCTCACTTATAAGGCACTTGTAGTCTTCGCAGACATGGGACACTCAACCTTTCAAAGTTACAATGGTGCTAAAAATAATTTTGTGACTAACCTTTCAAATTACAACTATTGGCCTCAGTGATGTGATTGCTATTTGCATACTTCACAACCAGCATGCATGTTTCTTGGAACTAGTAGGATTGATATGGTACGGTTTGGAAAGTGGAAGTAAAATTGTAAGTTGCAATCATGTTATTTTTCACTCTGCGACTGCATCTCTTTGCTTAATGACCAAGGGAAAACAGGTCATAAGTCCAGGTGCAGTCACAGGATTTTCTGCTTCGCAATCAAGTTGCCAGTCCCAGTTGTGGTCACTAAGTGAGGACTACCTTAATAATAATCTGTATTGGTATTAGTTTTGTTAATACCAGAGCCAGGGTATTATGTTTAATGTTGCACAGACGCTCCCTAAAATTAAAACCTTTAATACTACAAGACGTTGGTTTTTACAGAAAACCATAAGAATCATGAGTACAGGTAGTTCTTCAGCAAAAAAAAAGGCAAGAATGAATAGCTATATGAATAGCTGGATTCAAACTTACAACCACATGACTTGCTTAAAGACCATGTGATTCACTTAACAACTATAGTGATTGACTTAATAAGCATCATAAAAATGGTTATAAAACGGAGTTCAGTCATGTGAAGACTCAACATGACAGCAACAATTTACGATCAAAATTCAGGGCTCAATTTTAATCATAAATCAAAAACTATTTGTAGTCTATTTTATATTATCAAACAGTGACATCTACAGGAGGCATCAAGATAAGTTAGAATGACAAAAATAAGCATTGTGCTGTCACACCACCACTTTCTTATATTAAATGGGGTATCACATGCATGCCCAAAATATGCAACACATTGCCATTTTCATCTTTTTTGACAAAAGGAGCAGAATTCTGCAAGTATCCATGTTTCAACTTCCTAACTCCATTAGATAATGGGATATCCTCTCTTACATTTCTTGATGCATTGTAGCACTCTCTGCTTCTCAGGTAAATGCTGAACAAAACTCATTCTGTCAACCAACACTCTTGATAAGTTTCCATTGCACTGTCAGGTTAGACACGCCCAAATTTGAAATCTCCTTGAGAATAATCTTTGTACTTCTAAATACAGGTCGTACTCCTTGACTTATGAACACAATTGAACCCAAAATTTATGTTGCTAAGTGAGACATTTGTTAAGTGAGTTTTGCTCTATTTTATGACCTTTCTTGCCATAGTTGTTAAGTGAATCACTGCAGTTGTTAAGTGAGTAATACAGTTTTTAAGTGAATCTGGCTTCCGCTTTGATTTTGCTTGTAAAAAGGTCTCAAAAGGTGATTACATAACTCACACACACCGCAACTGTCATACATATGAACTAGTTGTCAAGTATCTGAATGTAAATCACATGACCATGGGGATTTTGTAATGGTCATAAGTGTGAACAATGGTCATAAGTCACTTTTTCAGTGCTATTACAACTTTGAACAGTCATTAAATGAATGATTGTAAGTTGAGGACTAACTGTAATTAAATCTATACTCACCATAGTTTCTTGATGTGATATATAGATATAACTTTTAATTCTTTCATTAGGTGAAAAATGTACCAAGTTCTACCATCCGGATAAAGGAACAGGCCTTATCAATAAGATATGTGATGGTAACGTTTGCCGATGTGCAGAAGGTAAGTTGGGAGAAATAAGGTAAATGTTCTCTCTGAGCACCAAAATGGAAGCATTGGGGAAGAGTTAGTATGGAATCTATGGCAAATATAAATTTAATTCAAATTTAATCAATGATAATTTTTCTCAATCTGAATCTGTTTGGAAACTTTGGACTCTGTACTCTGTAAAATAATATGAGGAGAGAGTTGCTGGATCTTAATAGTTGCAATACTTCATAAAATGCTTACCAAGGAGTTTACATGTGATTGAAGAGTCATTGTTTCTACGCATTTCTATGTTTATTTATGAGCTGCCCCCCTTTTTAAATCCAACGTATGACCAAAGCAATTAATACCAAGGAAATAAAGTAAAACAAAAATGTATCCATACAATATGAATATTTAACAAATGCCATTCTCCTGTGGGACATGCCCCTCTCTGATGACCATGGCCAGTTTCCTTCCATTTGCCTGTTACTCATTCTCCTGGGAGTCAGTCAGCAATTGGGCAAGCAACTGCAGAGGATCAGAAGTTGGTACATCTTTCTCTTCTTCAACTCAGAGCATGTGTCTTTTGGCTTCCTGCTTCCCAGTTGTTCTGTCCCTCTCTCACACACACAGGAGGAGATGGAGAGAAAAAACAGATTAGAAATGGTCAGGCAAGCTTCGTTTTTCTGCTATGCACCAATGAATGACATTAGGTGACAAAAATGAAGATTAGACAATCAGGGTGAAGTAGCAGGTTCTCAGAACATTGTGTCTAGATCCTGCTCATCTACAAATCTGTTGATTTCAGACTACTTCATGTATCATTGTCATGAAAATAATATAGAAAGCGGGAATATGATTTGATATTATATAAAGTGAAAGAATTTGCAATCCAAAACTAATCTGTAATCAACCACCAATAAATGGTGAAGCCATTAATAAGTCCTCATATGAGTGATGATAACCTCCAGATAATTTATTTATAGACTTCTTCTCGAAATGCAGTTTACATGACATCTCATCAATGATTTATTCATACTTGAAAAAGGAGATACCAAAGATTGCTAGTATGGAGTTCATCGCAGTTACTGGATTTTTATTTCAGAGCATAATAAACCTTATGTCAGAGCTGCCGGATTTGCTTTTGAAAGACCTAGTGTTTCTTTTGCTCCTTAATACAGCACAATTCTTATCTGATTTTCTCTTCATAGAAAATAAGAAAGTGCATTTGATAAAGTAGACCACAATCTATTACTTGATAAGATAGAAAAATGTGGGTTAGACAGCATCACCAACAGATGGATTTGTAACTGGCTGACAAACCACACTCAACGTGTAGTCCTTAATGGAACTGCATGTACGCGTAGGGAAGTATAGAGTGGGTAACCCAAGGTTCTGTCTTAGGCCCAGTATGCTTCAATAGCTTCATCAGTTATTTAGATGAGTGGATTGATGGGGAACTCATCAAGCTGGCAGGAATAGCCAACAGTCCAGAAGATAGGCTTAAAATACAGAAGGATCTTGATAGATTTGAACATTGAGCGCTATCTAACGAAATTCAATGGTGAAAAAGGTAAGATTCTACATTTAGGCAAGAAAAACCAAATTCACAGGTATAGTATAATATCTAGATCAATAGTAGTAACTGCAAGAGGGATCTTGCAGTCTTAGTGGACAATCATGTAAATATGAGCCAGCAGTGTGCTGCAGTTGTTTCAAAAAAACCAACACAGACCTAGACTGCATTAACAGAAGGATAGAATCAACATCACGTGAAGTGTTAATGCCACTTTAAAATGCCTTGATAAGACCACACTGGGAATACAGCATCCTATTTTGGTCACCACGATGTAAAAAAGATGTTGAGATGTAGAAAGAGTGCAAAGAAAAGCAACAAATATGATGAAGAGATTGGAGGCTAAAACATATAAAGAACGGTTGCTGGAATTGGGACTGTCTAGTTTAATGAAAAGAAGGACTAGGAGTGACATGATAGCAGTGCTCCAATACCTTAAGGGGCAGCCACATTCTCCAAAGCACCTAAAGGCAGAACAAGCAAAGGATGAGAAGCAACCTAGAACTAAGGAAAAATTTACTCTAAGGAGAACAATTAACCAGTGGAATGACTTGCCTCCAGAAATTGGGAGTGCTCAAAAAATGGAAGTTTTAAAGAAGAGATTGGACAACCATTCGTCTGAAATGGTACAGTTTCCTGCATGAGCAGGGTTTGGACTAGATCTCCAAGGTTCCTTACAACTCTATCTGTTGTTCTGCTATTTGAAATAGCACATTATCAAATAACTATGCTTGTAGATTAGCCCTAGATATACAGTGCCACATTTAAATTAGTATTTCTTGTTTCTGATTATCAAACACAGATGTCTTCTACAAATGAGATGTTACCTGCTCTGGGCTGGATAATTTTTGCCCTAGCAATGTCTTTTAAATCAGAACATGTATCCTCAACAATCAATTGAACATTTTGTCTTCTCTTTTCTCCCCTTGAAGAAACCTGTTCCTTGCTCAACCAGCAGGAAAAGATTGATCTTCAGTTACGAATTCAAAAAGCCTGCGCCCCAAATGTGGATTATGGTATTTATATTGTTAGAATCTTATTAATAAGGTAGTGGTGTCTCTCATTGTTAACAGCATTCTAACTATCATGGATTTGAAGCAACCATTTTCAATTTATTCATAATATTCATGGATTTTTTTACCCTTGGAATGCTTAGCTGCTGATACACACCTTCATCCTGCGGTGATATTTTTCTAGTTAACATGGTGCTACTTGTTTGTGTGTTATTGACCCTCGAGTGTAGCATAACAATTTGGGGCTCCTAGAAATAGATCTGTATCAATGAGTAAGCAGAGCCAAAACACCAGGATTTGGAGAACAATTCCACAGCTCCACACATTCACTGTTTTCACTCTCAATCCTTCAAAAAACAACATGAAGCCAAACTGCAGTAATCTGCATGGCCCCGTATATCAAAATTCAGAGATGAAATGCTACCTTGCTGTGAAGATGGGGTGAAAGGACTGTTTGGAAAGTTAGCCCTTCAAGGTGGTTCAGACAAGAAGAGCAACCAGGCACATCAGCACAATATTTATCATAAGCACAATATTAAATAGTTTCTTGAAGATTTAACCTATTTATCTATTCATCTCTTTCTAGTCTCTGGAAAACTAGGGAAGGTTCCCCTCTGAAATGTTTCCCATGCTTTTCCCACACTCACAGACTGAGTGCCTTTCATGAGACTATTGCCTAGGCAGTATGTCTTCCTCTTGTCTCCCAAGGTCATTCCAACAAACCTGTAATGGTATCCGGGAGTGACCTTGGGAAACAGGGGAAAGAGCTAAAGCCAGAGAGTGGCTGGACAAGGGGCAGCTTAGCCTACAAAAGGAATGGAGGCATGGCCAATGTCTCAGAAAAAAACCCTTCCTAGTTTCATGGGCTGTAAAGGGAACAGGGGAGAAATGTACTTTCGGGCTTGCAAGGTTCTGTTGATGCAACCTTACAATAAAGTAATGTTAGTCCATCTGGCCATGTTTCCTGACTGGACTACCTCTCAAGGCTGACAATACTATCACACTCACAGAACCGCAGCATGCAAGAGAAAATACACAATTTGCTTCCCTACACCCCACAGTGGAGCTGGTACTCAGTGGCCTCACCTGGAGGAGTCAAAACTGCCACAAAGATCCAGCCTTGGAAGTGCCCATAGTCTAGGTGGAAACGTCAGCAGTACTTGTCCCAAAGGTGCTTTTCCAAAAGGCAACTGGACTTTCTTGGTAACAAAAGAAATCCAGTTGCTTTTTGGAAAAGCACCTTTGGGACCACCATGACCTGGATGTTTCGGAGTCTCCGTAGTGTGTGCCTCACTGATTATGCCCCTCATGGTGTAAAATAATCAGCCATCTTAATGAGGATTGTTTCTGTCTTTGTTCTTAACAGTCTACAAAGCCAAGCTGCTTCGAATAGAAGAAAAAGATGATAATGATATCTATGTCATGGACGTTTTAGAAGTTATTAAAGCAGGTAAGAATTTCCCCCTAAAATATATCACAGGGGTGTCAAACTTATGTTGTCATGGTGGCGTCATGTGACGTATTGGGATTTTCCCCCTTCGCTAAACAAACTGGTGGGGGCAGGGCTAGCACGCGATGAATCCGGCCCGTGGACCACGAGTTTAACAGCCCTGATATATCACATATTAAATAGTGGAAATATTTTCACTACACCTGAAAGTTTATTTGAACCCCATTTGAAAGTTCACATTAGTGTATTTAACTTGATTTAATATATTCATTTTAATTGTCCCCCTATCTAAAGTGACTCTGGGCAATGTACAATATAATACAAACAAACCTAAAAATGCAATATAGTGAAATTATTAATGGAAGAGGACAAATGAATAAAGTACAGGCGCACAGGCTGAATCCAGCTGATAACATCCACACTCCCAAATGTACCTGACAGGAACTCCTCTAACCCAAGGTCTTGAAGGCTTTCCAAAAGGCCAACAGAGTGGGGATCACCCAGATACCAGGTAGAACTTTACTTACCGACTGAATTTTCATCTGTATGATCAGAACTCCAGTGTTTGCTAGATTTTCCCTTGACAAATAGTGTCATAGTTCTCTCAAAAGGAAAAAGAGGGCAGCTATTAAAAGCCTAGTGTTTCAAGTGTTAATAGGACATATTTTATTGTATAGAAATTCACATTTCTAGAGAAGAGTGCAGTGTTTGCTGCAGGCAATCAGATAGAAATTGTTTCAAAAAGTGCATTTAAATATAGGTAGTCTTCAACTTACAACCCTTCGTTTAGCAACTATTCAAAGTTACAATGGCCCTGAAAAATATGACTTATGAATAGTCCTCACATTTACAACTGTTGCAGCATCCCCGTGGTCACATGATCATCATTTGGGCACTTGGCAACTACTGTATGATAGTTATAGTGTCCTGAGATCATATGATCTCTATTTGTGACCTTCCCAGCTGCCTTATAACAAGCAAAGTCCATGGGAGGAAGCCAGATGCACTTAACAACTGTGTGATTCAATTAACAACCATGGCAAAAAAGGCCATACAATCGGGCACAACTCATTTAAGAATTGTCTTGCTTAGCCATGGAAATTCTGGTCCCAGTTGGGGTTGTAAGAGAAACTGTGATGGCTCAGTGGTTAGAATGCAGTATTGCAGGCTAACTCTGCCAGCTGCCAGCAGTTCAATCCTGACCGACTCAAGGTTTGACTCAGCCTTCCATCCTTCTGAGGTAAATAAAATGAGGACCCAGATTGTTGGGGAAAATATGCAGACTCTCTAAACAGCTTAGCGAGGGCTGTAAAGCATTACAAGGTGGTATATAAGTGCTACTGCTATTGCTATTACCTGTATTTACAAAATGTTTTGTAACACTTAGAGATTCATCATCCTCACAAATGTCTTTCAGTAATCCCTTCGAAGTTCCCATATTTGTACCTTTATGAATTATCAAAAGGAATATGGGAGAGTATACAACTTTAAAAGTGAATAAATGTATTTTTTTGCTTTGAAGAGGATGGCTTTAAACTGATCTCTTCACTCTTTTTTCTGTGCAAGTACCTTATTCCACATCATTATTACTGTTATTCAAACTCACAATATGGTTTTTCTAAAGATAAATTTTTCTGTTTTAAATAAATAGTCAGTATTTTGTCTGATGGAATGAGGAACTAGGGACAAGTACCATCAGAAGAAAGAACATAGAATAACAGAGTTGGAAGGGACCTTGGAGGTCATCTAGTCCAACCCCCTGCTCGAGCAGGAGAGTCTATTCCAAGTATAGATACTCTACCTAGGATCGAATGCACAACCTCCTGATTGTGAGGCAAGAGCTTCACCTCTAGGCCACCGCCACATTTTTATCATTCTACCAATTTTCTGTATCCTGATCAATCTGCTCCAGTGAGTCAGAAGATCCTCCAAACAAGTGGGGGGAAGGATCTGTTGTAGGGGAGTTGCCGATAGCCTCCCTTCCCTCTGCAAAAATGCCCCCCTTTTCATTTTGTTAGTTGGAATTAGCTCTTTATCATCCACAGCTCTAGTGCTGAGATAGGGAACTGGTTTTTCAGGGTCAGATGCTGCAGTATCTGTGTGGCATATAATGGGCCTCTCTGAGGAAAAAGGTAGAACTCAGAAGATGGTTTATTTGCCCCAGGGTGATAAATATGAACCAATAGCAATTGAAAAAAAGAATTCATCCGCTAAATACAGCTGCTTCCTCTTTGCCAGTTGCTTGCCATTAGCCACGTAATACATACAGTATGTGAATTAAACCAATGAAAGACTATACCCCTAATGAAATATTTATCCAGATTCTAATTTCTGCAGGCAGTGACCAAAATCCATAAGCAAAGGCCCGCCAGTATATAAGTCAAAGGAAATGCCAGGAGACTCTGAATCTGAAGGTGAATGATGATTATCTGATCTGGGGTCTCAGCAGTGACCTGTGGCCCATGAAAGATAAGTACGTATTTCACTGTTTTTTTTATTTTCTAAAATTGTATAGACTTTGCTTTTCTGCTATCAAACCCACAGAACATCTAACACTATATTTACAGTGTCGTAGAATGTTATGTTACATCTTTGAAAGCAACCATAATCTGAATCTGTTAATATCAAAATAGTCATTCTTCCTCAGTTTTATCAGATGCCATGGAAGACTTCTATAGGTTAGATGTGACCTTGTGGGGAAGACTGTGAAATAATTTTAACTACAATTTTTAGATACCTAGATAACACCATCTGCCCAACTAAATCTCACTGGGAATATGTAAAGCTTTTGCCCAGATGCTTCAAGCCTCACAGTCCATATGCTCTATGTCCTGCTGAAGAGCTGTGCTTGCCTGCAGAAAACTTTTCTCTCACAACTTCAAGTTTCCCAGTGCCTCCAGTTCAGGCCTGCAATATTTTATTTTATTTTAATTTTATTTGTTTGTCAAACATGTACAAGATAACAAGTATAGGTATGAACATAAACATGAATAAAGGAAGTAAGTACAGATAAATGGGGGCAGTAAGACAAGGGATGGTAGGCACGCTGGTGCGCTTATGCACGCCCCCTTTAAGGACCTCTTAGGAATAGAGTGAGGTCCATGGTAGACAGTTTGAGGTTGAAGCTGTGAGGGGTTGAGGCTGTAAAAACGGAGTTGGGTAGGGCGTTCCAGGTGTTGACCACTCTGTTGCTGAAGTCGTATTTTCTGCAATCGAGTTTGAAGCAGTTTACCTTGAGTTTGTATTGGTTGTTTGTTGTGTATTATTGTGCTTGAAGCTGAAGAAGTCATTGACAGGCAAGATGTTATAGCAGACAATTTTGTGAACTATGCTTAGATCGGACCGCAGTTCTAGATTGTCCAGGCCCAAAAATTCAAGCTGGATTCTATTGTGAGTGGAGGAGTTGGAGTACTTTTCTTGAGAAACATGTCTCAACCCTCTATATATGTGAGATCTTTCACTCACCAAAGAATAAAAGTTGTCTGTATGTCTTTGTTACTGTCTAGTGGTTGTCCAATTTTTTTCAGCCCAGACCTACTAGTCCAATCATTTCATTTCACTTTGTGCTGAATTATTTCCTCCATTGTTTTTATAGTACAGACAGTTCAATAAGGGAAGGGTTGCACCTAGTTGTTCCTCTCTATACACTCAAACATATACATGAAAGAGAGTCGGTAGATTATCACGGACAGGCCCACGCGACAGGCCGGCTGGAGTACTCAAATGCCGCATCAACATGGTGGAAACGCCCACTACTGAACACACGCCCAATGCTACCGCGTTCGGGGGAACCGACGGGCGCAGGAGACCATTGGCCTGCGTCAAAAATCAACGAAATGGTCCACGCGGAAAGCACGGCGCACTTGCACCGTGTGAGAAAGCTATGACGGCCGCGTCCGGGTCTGACGCGCACGGAGACTACCCGATCCGTGTGAAAAATCGCAAGCGGGGAACAGAGGATTGCCAGACACTCAAGGTGGCCACCTGGAACGTGGATTCGCTGACTGGACGCTCGACCGAGATCGTCAGGGCCATGCGGGACAGGAAGCTGGACATCTGCTGCCTCCAGGAAACTCGCTGGAAGGGCAACAAGGCTACGACTATAGACGGCTATAAGATCATATACACCAGCTGTAAGGAAAACCGCGGCGGTGTAGCTGTGGTTGTCAGTCCCAGCTGGCAAAGCTCCGTTGCAGAAGTTAAGCGCCTCACAGAACGACTGATGATAATCGTCGTAGCGACCGAGAGGCAGAGCCTACACATCTTGTCCGCCTACGCCCCTCAGACCGGATGTCACGAGGAGGAGAAGGATACCTTCTGGGAACTGCTCGACATCCAACTCAGGCAGATCCCATATGAAGACGACATCATCATCTCTGGCGACCTGAATGGTCATGTAGGGCGGGACAAAAACGGACACCAGTGCCACGGTGGGCATGGCACAGGTGATATGAATGAGAATGGCCAGAGGATCCTGGACTTTGCCGACTCCCATGATATGACCATCACGAACACCTGCTTCATTAGGCGAGAACCCCAACTCCTCACCTACCATAGCAGAAATGGGAACCACCACACACAGATCGACTACATCATCGTACGACGAAGAGCCGCTAAAAACGTGCTCAACGCCAAGGTGTACCCGTACGAATCGAGCAGTCAGCACAGGCCGCTGATGGCGAAGATCAGGATCAGCAAGCCCAAGACCAAGATTGACAAAAAGAATGCAGACCAGCCACGAATCAAGTGGTGGAACCAGAAGAAGATGGCGGGACCCCTCATCAAACCGGAGCAGTTCCTGCAGATGGTCGACGGGCCACAGGAAGCGTGGTCCATGCTGAAGAGCACTGTTCACACTGCCGGCTGCCAACAGCTTGGTTGTACCAAGCCAGGACGGAGACACATCGAACGAGATACATGGCTCTGGACACCGGAAGTACAAGATGCCGTGCACCTGAAGAAACGGCTCTACAAGGCCTTTCTTCAGGACAAGACCAGCGAGAAGCTCTGCGAGTACAAGGCGGCCAAAAAGGCAGCCAAGAAAGCAGTAGCGACAGCCAGAAGCTCCCACTACGACGACATCTACGAGAAGCTGAACACGCGAGAAGGCGAGAATGAGATCTACCGCCTAGCCAAAAGCAGACACAGGAAGACCCTGGACATTGACCAGTTTCATGGGATCAACGACGAAAGGGGAAATTTGATCGTCAACCCCAGAGACGCTGCCGAGAGGTGGCGGCAATACTTCGAGAAGATCTCCACCGAGGAGTTCCCACACCCACGAACCCCGCGAGGTGACCCCGTCGAAGGCCCAGTCTCAGGCATTCACGCCAGCGAGGTCACCGACGCCATCAAGGCCATGAAAAACGGTAAGGCAACAGGACCAGACGACATCCCTGCCGACTTCTGGAAAAAGGCACTACCGGGCTCGGCATTGTGGCTGTGCGAGCTGTTCAACAACATCGTCTCCACGGGAATAGTGCCACACGACTGGTACCGCAGCACCACTGTTCCGATCTGGAAGGGAAAGGGCAGCCCAGCGGACTGCTCCAACTACAGACCGGTCAGGTTACTGTCACACACTATGAAGATCTTCGAACGCGTCCTTGATAAGCGCATTCGGGACATCGTCGACATCAGCGTCAACCAGGCCGGATTCATCAAGAACTGCGGCACCACCGATGCCATCTTCGGTGTGCGGATGCTGATGGAGGCTCACAGAGAGAAGAAAATCCCGCTCCACACCGCCTTCTTGGACTTGGAAAAGGCCTTCGACCGAGTCCCGCACGATCTCATCTGGTACGCACTGCGAGATCACGGCGTGCCCGAGCTACTCGTACAATGGGTCCAACTCCTATACAGATGTCACAAAAGCCGTGTAAAAGCGGCAGCTGGGATATCAGAGGAGTTCAATATCACCGTCGGCGTACACCAGGGCTCTGCTCTCTCACCACTGCTGTTCATTCTGGTGATGGACACAATTACACACGACCTGCACACGCCCGCCCCATGGACGCTGCTCTACGCCGATGATGTGTTCCTGGCCAACCTGCGCAAGGCTGAACTCGAGCACCTAGTCCAACAGTGGCACGACCGCCTCGAGCAGTTCGGGCTCCGGTTGAACCTAAAGAAGTCCGAATACCTGACCACTGACAACGAAACGACAGGCTCCATCCACGTGAACGGGCAGGAGCTACCGCGCGCCTCCACCTTCAAGTACTTGGGAACTACTCTTGGGGAAGAAGGCCTACTACAAACTGAGGTGGCAGCCAGGATCAACGCAGCGTGGGGCAAATGGAAGTCCGTCACGGGTGTCCTCTGTGACAAGAAGATGCCGATGCGCCTGAAGGCGAAAATCTATAACTCTGTGGTGCGCCCCGTGGCCATATACGGCGCAGAGTGCTGGCCGACGACCAAAGAAGTCGAAAGCAGACTCCAGACAATGGAGATGCGAATGCTCCGATGGTCGGTAGGCCTCACCCTACTCGATCGCGTCAGGAATGAAGAAGTGCGCAGACGGTTCAACGTCGTGCCCATCCCCACGGTCATGAGGCAGTCCCGGCTACGATGGTTCGGCCATGTGAGTCGCGCCAAGGAAGAATCCATCATCAAATCTGCGATGAAGGTGATTGTCGGAGGAGCGAGACCGCGTGGTAGACCTAAGCAACGCTGGATGGACACGATCAAGGCCGATCTAGAGATCGCGAAGGCAGACCCGACATACGTGGCAGACAGAGAGGCGTGGAAGCAGTACTCAAGGACATTAGCGGACCTCGCCAGAGCGCGAGACAAACGCTGAAGAAAAAGAAGAAGAAGAAGAAGAAGAGTCGGTAGATTATCACTGTGTGTTTAGGAACATGCACCTGTTGTTTTAGGTGTTTTTGGAAAGATTAAAGTTGATACTCATTCACCTGAAGAAAATCAAAATACTGCTTGGGTGATTTAATCTTTCAAAGCAACATAAGGATTTTTCATACTTTTTCCACACTTCTTAAAGTCTCCCTGAATTTAGGATTGTCTTAGTTATCACAAGCCTGATGCATCTCTTATTCTCATTGCCTTTGAGAAGTTCTAACTGCAGGCCATTGGAGGGGTTTTTCATTCTATTTGGGTTCCACAAATACACCTACTACCATCTGTTGATAGTATATATCTGTAGCATTCAGATCCAATTTTTCATTCGACATCTCAACTGAAATGCTTAAATTCTAGAACTGGGGATAAAAAATCTACGAGAGAAAACTGATTTATCATTGAATTCATTCATTCATTATTGTAGCAATCATGTTTTATGGCAGCAGCCATTTGAATTTTCTAGAGTTCAGTTGTTTTAGGATTCAGATTTTAAGGAAAAAGAAAAATTTCTTCTCTCACCCTAAAATCAAAATAGAAATTAAAATGTCATATTCATAGGATGAAATGATTAAAAACTATATTGGATTCAGTCCAAGCACAACACATTACTCCAACAGGAGACAGTTGAATTAATTTCCTTGCAGGGCTAAGTTTTAAGCTAGTCTGCTTCCTCTTTCCAGAATTTCCTACCTCATTACAAAGAACACCTGGATTGAGAGATGGCCACATGAAGACGAATGTCAGGATGAGGAATTCCAAAAATTGTGTGATGACTTTGCTGATTTGTCCAACACACTGACTGTGTTTGGCTGCCCTAATTAAGGTACAGAAGAATCAATGATAGGAAGGAAATTCTCAGAAGGCAGATTTTTGAGCCAATACATATATGTTACTTTGCCTCTTGATCTTTTAGTTTTATGTCAATTTTCTCTGTTATTTTCCCTTAAATTGTTTATACATAAAATAAATAATTGATTCCTTACTTTGGTATGTTCTTGATTTTTAATAAACAATGGTGATTCATGATTATTAATTTTTCTTCTGATCCATCCAATATTTGAAGTGCTCTGAGCAGATTATGGAGTAATGTTTTAGTGATAGATGAATAAGTTGGTGAGTCAATATTATCAGGCCCTATATACTCTTATTGAAGATAGATTTGTATCCAAAGAAACATAGATTGAAATGTGTTGCTTTGAAAACAGAGGTTTCAGTTGTATATGTTTACACTTGGATACAATCTTAATAAACAGTGATCTCAGAACCTTTAATAGCTGCTATTTAATAATGACAAAATATTCTTTGACTGCACCCACAGAAAACAATGCATCACATTAGAATGGGTTTTATCAGATGACTAAGCCTGCTAGACTTGCCATTTGTCAAAATGTGCCTCTTCCCCAGCTCCAACCTTTAGTAACTAATAGATGTTCTCTCGTTGGCTCTTGACAGAGGGGAGGGAGGGAGTATCCATTCTGTATACAGTGCCCCTTGTATACTATAAATAAGAACAGCACATCAATCTAGGAAAAGTTTGAAATTGTCAGTGGTGGCAGCAAAGTTTATGCCAGTATAGTCCCCAAACTCAGTAAGGATTACTATATAGCATTCTGGGAGCTGATGTAGTTGTTTGCAGTGCTGAAGGAAATCTTTAGATATTACAAAATTTTTATTTATGTTTTTCTCTGAACCGCTTTGAATTCTGATGAGGGAAGGCAGCAACATTCTCAACCACAGGGAATGGGGGGGGGATGTCAATGTAATGCATGCCCCACCCATTTAAGTGCATATATCAGGATATCACTCATGTACCCTAACATGAGAGCTTATATTAAAATGGTGAATTGCAGTGAATCCTGTAAACATCTAAGGAAGGTAGCATGTGAGCCATGTAATAGTCAATGAAACAAGAAGGGATCAATGAGTTCCAAAAATATAAATGAAAGATCAGAAGTGGGGAATTCATTCACTTGGCCAGCTGGATTAAGTTCATTGCATCATTTGTTATTTGATGAAACTATAAAAAGGCAATTAATTGGAATGTGGGAGTATCGTTGTCATGTGCTATTTTGAGGGTCAGATAGTGGGTGCAAGCAAGGGAGATAACACAATCCACCACTGAAATACTTCAGTAGTAGTTGCTGTACCTTCCTGATTTCTGCTTTAAACACCTGCAGGGGATTCTCTTCAAAATAAAGTTATGGAGATAATTCATATAAAACAATTTCTAACAGATGTGACCTGACTGTTGTAAAACCATGAAATAAAGATGTTCCATGGCCCTTAAACATAGGTGATAAGAATCAAGCTTGAACTACAAAGAATGCAAGAATAATAAATCAAGAAATTAAAGGCATAAAGCACAAGTGGAGTCAGTATGTTCCATGTACCTCCTAGTTGATAGGATGTGGGCAAGAGAGCATGCTGGCTTATAGGGTAGATTATAGATCAGAACTTACAGAGAACAGCATGAATAGACTTTAGATAAAAGTGGGCTTTTGTGGCATTTGTGCTTTTAAATTTCAAAAGAAAGTGCACATCTTACAATCATGTGAAAAAGAAAGTACATCCTCTTTAAGTTCTATGGTTTTTCATATCAAGATATAAGAAAAGTCATCTGGTCCTTGGCAGTTCTTAAAAGTAGGTAAAGACAAGCTCAGATAAACAACACATGACATATTACACCATGTCATTTATTTTACAAAAAGAAAGCCAAAACAGAGAAGCCATGTGTGAAAGACTAAGTACACATTATGATTCAATAGCTTTTAGAACACCTTTGGCAGCAATAACCTGAAGGAAAAAATTTCTGTATGATTTTACCAGCCTCTCACATTGTTGTGGAGGAATTTTGGCCCGCTCTTCTTTATAACAGTGCTTCAGTTCATTGATGTTCAGTTCATTTGTTTATTTACAGCACTCTTGACTGGGCCATTGCAACACCTTGATTCTTTTTTTCAGCCATTCTTTTGTAGATTTGCTGGTACGCCTGAGATCATAATCCTGCTGCATGACCCAATGTTAACCATGCTTTAGCTGTTAGACAGATGGCCCCACATTTGACTCTAGAATATTTGGTAATCAGGTGTTTATGACCAACTCAATGATTGCAAGGTGTCCAGGTCTTGTGGCTGTACCCTTCACTACCATGCTTGACAGTTGGTATGAGATGTTTATGCTGATATGCTGTGTTTGGTTTTCACCAAATGTGGCCCTATGCATTATGGCCAAAGATCTCCACTTTGGTCTTGTTTGTTCAAAGGACAGTGTTCAAGAATTCTTGTGATTTGTTCAGATGCAACTTTGTAAACTTAAGCCATGCTGCCATGTTGTTTTTAGAGAGAACAGGCTTTCTCCTGGCAACCCTTCCAAACAAACCATGATTGTTCAGTCTTTTTCTAATTGTATTGTCATGAAGTTTAACACTTAACATACTGAGTCCTGTATAGTCTGAGATGTAACTCTTGGATTTTTTTGCAATTTCTCTGACCATGGGGTGTATTTGCTGGGATGTCCATTCCTGGAAAGATTGGCAACTGCCTTGAATGTTTTCCATTTGTGAATAATCTTCCTCACTGTAGAATGATGGACTTAAATTGTTTGGAAATGGCCTTATGACCCTTCCCAGATTGAGGGCCAGCAAAAATTGCTTCTCTAAGATCATTGCTGATGTCTTTCCTCTTTGACATTGTGTTAACACACATCTCAATACTGGAGAAAGGACGCAGCCTAAAACTTCAACTCCTATAGAGGTAGTCACACCTGCTGATGATAAATTAACCAAGAGCATTTGATTAGCAGCACCTGGCTGCTACTCAGCACTGAAGGCTTTTAAGAAGAGACTGGACAGGGTATAGGGCAGGGGTGGGCAAACTACGGCCCGCGGGCCACATCCGGCCTGTTGGTCTGTCCAATCCGGCCCGCCCCTGAAAAAAAATAGCTGGGCATGGTGTATTGCCCTGTGCCACGTGGCCCCCAAAGCTGAAAAACAGTGTGGAGCGTTCTCGGGGTAGGAAAGAAAAGAACTTTGCAAAGGCCTCGGCTGGGAGTTCGAAATCACCTTCGAGTGCGACCTCTCCGAAGGTGAGTCCCCGCCAATCCCCCTTTTTTTCCCGGGGCTTCCAGGCTTAAACTTTGCAAAGGCAAAGTTTGCAGGCTGGAGCGTCTTCCCGCCAAGGAGCGGGAAGGGTTCCGCCCGGCAGGCGGGCGGGCTGCTTGGAGCGGGCTGCTTGGAGCCACCTAAAGCTAGGCCGCTGCTGGTGGAGCCTTGCCCTGCCTTGGTGCTCCGTTTCCCGGCTCGGCGGTCCTGCTCGGGCGGCACTTTAAAAGCCTGCTCCCAGCACCCGAGCAACTTCCCAGCAACTTTCGGCTTCCTTTTAACTCACGGGCGCTCGCGCCTGGCCCCGAGCCGTGCAGCGGAGGGGAAGCCCGGCGGGCGGGTGGGCGAGCTGCTTGGAGGAGGTGACCCGGCGGCACTCCGGGCTTCCCCTCTGCCGTGCGGCTCGGGGCCAGGCGCAAGCGCCTGCGAGTTAAAAGGAAGCCGGAAGTTGCTGGGAAGTTGCTCGGGTGCTGGGAGCAGGCTTTTAAGAGCTGCGCCCAAAGGAGCAACTGGCGGCCAGAGCGGGGGGAAAGGCAGGCGAAAGCCCCACACACACACACACCTCGGCAAGCGGTTTGCAGGGTTAGCCAGCAGTTTCTCGCAAGAGACTGAAGGCCGGTCTGCTCCCCCCAATTAGATGTTGGTTCAAGAGGGAGGGTCAGTCCTGCTGATGTATATGTATCGTATCTTGTGCTGACCCGGCCCGTCTGTCAAATTTTAAAAGTCAATGCGGCCCCCGAGCCAAAAAGTTTGCCCACCCCTGGTATAGGGTCTCCTGTTTGAGCAAGGAGTTGGACTAGAAGACATCTAAGATGGTTTTTGCTATAACATGATATGTAAAACCATAGAACTCAAAGAGGGTGTCATTTCTTTTTCACATGACAGTATTTCCATCAGAAAGTTTAAAGAAATTGCATGGGATGGGGAAGATGCATATGCCTGCATTTTCCTGTGGCTGGAGCATACAAAAAAGAGGCATAAAATGGGAAAATTTCTTCCTGCATAAAATGATTTTTGAAATGAATGGAACCCTTGAAAAGACAATTGCTTTGTTTTAATCTGGTCCCCTTCAAACCTACTGGGACTGTAATTTCCACAACTATCAGACAACTGTTAGTAGACAATGAGTAAGACCACATCTAGAATACTGCAATCAATTTTGGTCACCATGCTACACAAAAGATGTTGAGACTTTGGAAAAAGTTCAGAGAAGAGCAACTAAGATTATCAAAGGCCTGGCTATTAAAACATATGAAGAACGGCTGCAGGATTTAGGTCTGGCTAGTCTAAAGAAAAGAAAAATTAGGGGCAGGTTGGGCTCCTACCAGTTTGCCCTGGATCGGGTGAACCAGTAACTAATTTTATCATTTTTAAATACCAGTTTGGTGAACTGGTAAATCCCACCCCTGGCTGGCCCTGCCCTGCCCACCCCACCTCTCCCAGGAGTCCCCACGTGGCCTGTTTTGGATGCCAGATAAGCACAGGGCCCGTGTGGAGACTCGGGGAGGGCAAAAAACAGGCCTCCCGGAGGATCTGGAAGGCCAGAAATGGGCTCGTTTTCACCTCTGGAGGGCCTCCAGAGCCTGGGGAGGGCGAAAATGGCCCAACCGCCATGGTGCAGGAGGCTGACTAGGCCACACCCACCATGGCCAACCCATTCAGCAACTGGGCAGAGAACTGGTTACTAAAAGCCCACCCCTGATTAAGGGTGGCATGATAGCAGTATTCCAGTACTTGAGGGGCTACCACAAAGAAGAGGGGGTAAAATGATTCTCCAAATCACCTGAGGGCAGGACAAGAAACAATGGTTGGAAACTAATCAAAGAGAGAAGCAACCTGGAATTAAGGAGAAACTTCTAACAGTGAGGACAATTAATCAGTGGAACAGTTTACCTTCAGAAATTGTGGGTGCTCCATCACTGGAGGTTTTTAAGAAGAGACTGGACAGCCACTTATCTGAAATAGTATAGGTTCTCCTGCTTGAGCAGGTGGCTTAAGACTTCCAAGGTCC